CCCTTCCCCCAATTCCCCAGCACTGTTCCCATCCCCCCAATTCCCCAATAAAAATCTTTAAAAAAAAAAAAAGAAATGGTCTATATCCGAGCTGTGTAAAAGGTAGCCACGAGTCACAGGTAGCTATGGAACACTTGAAATATGGCTAATGTGGCTGCAGAAATGAAATGTTTACTTTAATTTAATTTTTATTAAGTTAAATTTAAATAGCCACACGGGGCTAATGGCGACCATGTTAGACAGCGCAGATTTAATATCTCCCCAGAATATAAACTTTCTTAGGGCATAGATTTTTGCCTATGCTGTTCACTGCTGTATCCCCAGTGCCTAGAAAAGAGCCTGGCTACTCCACTAATGCCTGTGGAATGAATGAATACATGAATATGCTAGGAGCTTTCCACGCATCATCTCATTTAATTGCAACAACAGACATGTAGGATAGATGCTATTTTCATTTTCTGGTACTCAGACAGAAGAAGTGTCCTGCTAAAGAATACCCAGCGAGTTTGCACCCTATGAAGAACATCTCCCCATTTAAGATGAGAAAGTTCTGGGGATCTAATGTATAGCCCAGTGAATATAATCAGCAATAATGGATTATATACTTGAAAGGTGCTAAGGGAATAAATCTTAAATGTTATAATCACAAAAAAGTAATATGTGAGGTGTTAACTTACTATTGCGGTAATCATTTCAGACTATATATGTGTATTAAGTCGTCACACTGTATACCGTAAACTTACACAATGTTATATGTCAACTATATCTCAGTAAACCTGCGAAAATGGTACAGAACACCCAGCTGGTCAAAGGCAATGGGACTTGAGCTCTGGGGACACCCAGATACTCCACTAGAGGTGGACTAGATGCTCTCTGTGGTCCTTTCTAACTCCGATATTCCACGGTCTTATGAGAATTTTCTCTCTTGCCAGGCAAGGACAACCCATAGTTTAAGCACCAATCGGATTGACAGACCTTTACACAAAGTCCCTTGTCAACTGCTCAAAAGCCATCATTTTCCAGGCAGAAGGAGCACGCATCTCCCTTCAAAACATACCGCCCCTCCCTCTATCCCCAGCCCCGCCCCATTGCTCACCGGTTTCTGGGTCGCAGAGCTGCTCACAGGCATCTGTCGTCCTCTGTCCACAGAGGTCCCTCACCCATGGGGAGGTGGCATTGATCTGGTAATACAGTGACAGCTTGGCTGGGTTCAGCCAGTCGGAGATGTCCAGGTAGCTTCCTTCACTCACCACGAAGCTGCTCCCTGTGGACGAACAGAGAGGAAGACGGCTACTTTCTCCCCGCTGCGAGGGCGCAGAAGTGTCTCACTGCTGACGCTCTAGCCAGGAACAGAGTCGGGGGCATACAAGTCACCCCCAATCCAAGGTCCCCTGTTCTCATTTGTTTACGCATATTAACGGAGCATTTATAACGTGCCAGTCACAGTGTCAGCAGCCAACAGAAACAGAGCTGAATCAGACACAAGAGACATTTTAGCCTAGTAGTTAAGTGTCATGCCCTTAGGACTGAGAGAGACTTGGGTTCCAATCCTTGATCCATCCTTACCAGCCACTGACTTGGGATGACTCCCTCAATGCCTCTGGGCCTTGGTTAGATCATCTGTAAATGGGAATTTTAATGGAACCTACCTCATAGGATTACTGTGAGAATGAAATAAATTGACATAAAGTGCATAGCCACTATCTGACTTGTCCTAGTAAAGAATAACTCAATATTAAAATTAAAAAAAAGGAAAGCTAATGTCCCTGTCACTTAGGCATCTCCTTTGGAACCGGGGCCACTAATGCCAACAGGAGCCAGGGAGGGTGAGTTAATGGGACAGACTGGTTGAGTGTCAAGCAAATAGCTCTCTGCCCTCCTGGCTTAGCTTCATTTTTTTTTTCTTGCCCTGAAAGAAAGAGACAGAAGGATTTTCAAAGAAATCTCTAGCACTTCTAAAGGGAAGAAAAAGCAGCACTTGTGCAATGGAGAATGCCTTAATGCTGGGAACAACAGCGAAGATGGAGTTCGGGGTGAACTGGGCACTTCAGGTTCTATCGAAAGGGAGCAGCTGCAGCCTGGCTCTAGTCCGCTCTCGTCCAGTGGGTGAGGGCCAGTGGTCCCAGATCTTCAGATTTCCTTCAGGGGTGACTGAAAATTGCAGATTTCTTTATTGTAATCAACCAATTTTTAAAAGATGGCTTAAATTTTTCTTGAAAGCTTGTGTAGGTCAATCAAAAGACCCTAGCTTTCCAATTTATGTTTTAAAATGCTCCTGTTTAACATGCACACACACACACATGAATACATATGTATGCACATATCCATATATGTATCTATGTGAGTACACACATATGTATCTGTGTGTGTATACACACACAGATACATATATGGATTACATACATATATGTGCATACATATATTAGTTAAGGAGCAAGGAACAGCAGCCCACTCAGGGTGGCTGCATACTGGGTGCAGTTGGTGAGTGTATGTATATAGCAATATAGCAAAGGTAGAATTTTACAGGGGAAAAACAGTTCAAAGAGGATCAGTCTCCAAAAAATTGGAATAGAATGCTATTGTAGATTCATGGCAGGTTAGGGACCTCAGCAGCAGGAGATCTTAAATCATTTCATAATTAACGTGATTCAGCTTTTCTCCCTTCATTTTCTTCTCTCTGTCACATTATCCACCAATAAAATCTTTCCATGTATGCAATTCAAATCTCCAAAGTAAGGACTCACCTAATAGGCACCATGTGGGTTTGACAGCAACCTCTCTGTCAGGTCACATCAGGCCCTGCTGACTGACCAATGGTTGGGATCCTCTTAGCTCTGGTGCCCAGCTGTGTCCATTGGGCAATGACAGGAGAGGTGGAGTCACGTAAGACCTTACCTGGCTGCCCTGAGGAGCTAGGATTACCTGAAGGGGGTAAGGACATGCCAGGCAATGCTATCTTCTCTAACTTGCACGCATGTTATGATTTATATCATTCTACATGATAAATTTCTAAGTGAAAGCACAGTGGACAATGTGATTTGGGGTGAGGATAAAAGAGGAGTCTACGTGAAAAGCAAAAGGAGTAGATAGCATCAGGCTCAGAGATAAGAAAATGACCACATTTGAAGCTGGCCTTAAAATCCTTGGCAGCTCAACAAAAAAGAATAAGTCTGCTGGATTCCATTTTTCAAATTTCTGGCAAGGGAAGATATGCAAATCTATCTGCAAAACCATATTTTCCCCTCTGGAACTAAGCCCAAGCAGAAACATGTCACATGGGTCCTTGTGTAATGCACCAAACGTCAGTATCGACTACAGATTTTTCTTTTAAAAAGCACAGTCATGCTGTTTAAATGGATAATTTTTATATTTACTCTCACTAAAGACAGGGATGGATATTGAATTGTGTCCCAGGGATCAGTTTGGCTAATCCCACTACTTCAGGAAAGCTACACAGTGCAGTGATAAAGAGAATAGAGCCAGAAAGACAGGTATTCAGATCTTCGCTCTGCTGATTGCTAGCCCTGTAAACTTAGGAAAGAAAGCAAATCATCAGTCATCTCAGATGAAAAGTGTGGGTCCCAACTCCCTCTTCATGGGGCGAGTATAAAGATTAAATGAGACAACGCATTTGTCTTAGGTCAGACTCCCCGGAAACCAGACTCAAAGGCAGAGACAGGCGTGCAGATTTCTGGGTGTACTCTTTTTTCTTTTTTAGTTCAGGTGTACAAAACAATATAATAAACATTTACATCCCTCACAAAGTGATAAGTCCCCTCCCCCAATCTATTACCCTTCTGACACCATACATAGCTGTAACAATTCCACTGACTCTATTCCCTATGTTGTACTTTACATCCCGTGACTATATATATAATTATAGCTGACATTCAGTATTATTCAGCTTCAGCTTCTGGTGTACAGTGCAGTGGTCAGGCATCTAGACCGTCCATGAAGTGGCCTCCCGAACAAGACAAGTGCCAATCTGACACGCTACTAGACCTTTACAACATTATTGATTATATTCCCCAAGCTGTCTTTCGTATCCCTGTGGCTATATTGTGGCTACCAATTTGTGCTTTCTAATCCCTTCCCTTCTCCCTCATCCCCACCCTCTCCCATCTGGGTGTACTCTTGTGAAGGGGTGAACAAAGGGGGACTGGACAGAGAGAGGAGTCAAATGGCCATGCAGCAATGCCCTCAGCTCCTCCCCTAGGGAGCTCTGGAGCTGGGGTGACCCTTCAGAGTCATTCCAAATCAAGACAAGGATGTCAGGACACTGTACATCAACATTCACCAGGCATGAGCTGTGGGCTATCCCTGGGGAAGAGGCATGAACTTGGGTGAAGTGGTCTGTTTCGATGGAGGACATTTCTTCAAGAAAGACTTAGAGTGACTGGTCAACCACCAACATTCTTGGCAGCTGTGGAAATGAGCGCCTATATTAGAAGGAGATATTTAGATACAGCCAATCCCCATATGACATTCACTACAATACATGAAGTCCCTGGCACGTTGTAAAATCTCAACTCACAGGAGCCATTGTGACCACAACTTGGGTTTCTTACAAACTTAGAAGCTCTGAATGCAATAGCAGTTAATGGATCTTCTCAAATGTGAGAAATGTGTCTGTTTGGAAGGGATGACCTCAAAAGCAGGTTATCCTCACCTTATTTTAAAAGATGCTCTGCTAAGGTTTATGTTGCTTTAATGGCAGAAGGGAGTTACTGCCCTTTGAATGCCCTCTCCATGCCAGACTCTGTGATAAATGTGTTATATATGCTTCTTACTAATCCTTAGAAGAGACTTGCAGGATAGGTATTTCCCCATTTTTACAGAAGACAACATGGGGTTCAGCAAGAAACTGATTTAACCAAATTTGTAAAACTAATAAGTGGCCAAAGTGGAAACTGAACCCACGTTTTTTTCAGCATCCAAAGTTGGGACCCTCCCATTATTCTGGCTGTTTTGAGAACCAGAGGCTTTGGTTTGGTTGTGAGGCCTTCAGGGGTCCCCCCGCTCCTCCTCTGGTAGCCTGTGCATATCCTATAGTGTTGGGAGAGCTTTGGCTTTCTGTGCTAGACTGATTTTCTACAGGGAAGAGGTCATGGCTTATTCATGATTCTTATCAATCAAGCCATCAGTAAAAGGTCTCACGCATACTAGGAGTTTAGTTAATGTCTGCAGAGTGAATTAATGAAATCAAAGTTCCATGCTCGACTCGAGAGAAGTTCAGCTCACTTCATCATGCGACTGTGAAGCAGAAGTGCCTTCCACAGTGATCCCAAAGTTTCAGTCTTCACCTCCAGTGATAGCCAGGATACAAAATCGGCTCTTTAGAGTCTCCCCAGTTCCAAACCAAAACTTGAACTTCACTATCATGTCTCCTGAGCTCTCGTTCACACCATGGGCTTGTGATGGGGGCGATTTAAGTAGAGATGCTAGAGGGACTCCGTGGGGAGAGGCAAGGATACGGGGCACAGAGATGACACATCAGGTAGTGAAAGGAAGTGACTGTGCAAAATGTAGGCTTAATCCTTGTGTTCATTCAACCACATTTACTAAACCCCTCAATGCATCAGGAACAAACATAGAGAATGAGAAACAGACTGACTGCTTCAAGAAAATGATGGACTAAAAGGGAGATCAAATGTGTGCACAGCTATCTCTAAAACAACCTAGAGAGTGCAAGGCCCACCTGAACGAGGGGGCTTCCCCTTGGAGACAGGGAGAAGGAGAAAGGGGTATCAGAGAGGAATCACTGAAAGTTGCCCCTTCAGCCGTGTTACAGATTCATTCATTCATTCATTCATTCATTCAGTCAGTCAGTCAGTCATAGACTTGTTAATTTAACAAATAGAGCACTTTGTATGTGCCAGGCCCTGTCCCAGGCTTCGGGTGAATAAAACATGGTATCTGTCTACTGAGAACTTAAAATTCAGGAAGGGAGTTCAGAGATGCCAAATCTAATGCAAAGTGTAAGTGTTTTCTGTTCCTCCTGTCTTATTCTCTCATCTAGACTGCACATTTCTTTTCTTTTTAATTATTTATGTTTTTCAGTTACTGTTGACATAATTTTATTGTATATTAGTTTCAGGTGTACAGCATAGCAGTTAGATATTTATGTAATTTATGCAGTGATCTGTATTATAGACTGCATTTTTTTAAAGGTAAACACCATGTCTTATTTAACTGCATTCTCCATAGTGCTTAGGGTGTAGTGGAGGTTCAGAAGGTGTTGAGGGTGTGTGTGTGTGTGTGTGT